TTCACAAGCGGCGCACGTGATTTCGCAAATTAGACATTGAAAACTGACGTGCACATTTTTCGCCCACTTTTGTCATTTGTTTTACAGAGTTGTTAGTTAGTTGTATCGAGCTTTGTTCGCGCAAATTTTTACCCGTTGTTCGCAATTTCAAGAATTTTCGGAGTTTTCATTTTAGCCAAATGCTGTGGCTATTTAAAAAAAGTTCAATATATAATTTTCTACTGAGTTTGAACTTTAGGCTCTTTTTTCGTAAATGGAGTTTTTACAAGGGTCAGATATTTTGATTGTGTGATACGTTTTATTAAATTTATTATTTCCTCCTCGCCATCCTACCTCTTACTGCGCTCTCAACGTTTTCCTGTCGATGCTCGTGCATTGGTGCAAAACGGGTGCTCGGAGACAATTGTACAGAAGATATATTTTCATATTCTCTATCTTAATTCCATTGGTAACCAGTTTCCTAAATCTTACATAATAACGAGAACCACCACTGCATTTCACTTTCACAAAAATGTTGGTTTTACTCTTCCCTTAAACCCTTCTAATGATGCATTCTGGTGTTACAGTTTGCTCTGCAAAAGCCGATATTGGAATCCTGATTGATGGCTCATCATCAGTAACGGAAGCTAACTTCGCCAAGTTGTTAGACTTTACAAAGAGCCTGTCTAAATCCTTCTCGGTGTCTAAGGATCACACCCACATTGCAGTTGCCACCGCGTCCAGAGGTCCGCGCATGAGTTTTGATTTTGAGGGATTCAATGACATTCCGAGCCTCGACACAGCAATATCCCGCATATCATACAATGGTGGACCATTTTTGTTAGGTAATTGGGCAAGTGGACCATCAAATTTACTGATTTAAGCCAGTTACGAATTAAAGCTTAAACGTCATTTAAAGAGGTGACTTGAGAGTAACGTGGTAAGCAGAACCATAACGGTGACTTCCGTTGTTAACAATTAAAAAGTGAGAATCACTTGTTGGTTTGGCTTTATGAGAACCTACGCTGCATCTATGTATCTAAATATTCCAAATTCGTGTGAATATTTAACAGATAACCTTCCCATGACATGAAAAAAAAAAATAGATATGAACTATTATTTGAAATTTTATCTCAATATACTCTTTATTACTCATTGCAGGATCAAGTCTAACTGGCGTAAAAACCAGCTGGTTTAAGAATAGTGGTCGTAAAAGTATTCCTCAACTTCTTCTTGTCCTGGCCACTGCATCATCAATTGATGACATCGCAGTACCGTCACGTGAGATGCGAGACCGAGGTGTTCGAATTGAGGCCGTGGGGATTGGGTCTGGGTTTGAAGGGGGGCAGCTGAAAGAGATAGCAACACATCCTGCACAAGATCACGTGCTGGCTGTATCCAAATATGAGCTGCTACCTATGATTAGACCGCTGCTGACCTTCAGGATGTGCAGAGGTAAGATTTGTATCAGCGAAGCGATAAAACCAGCGATAGTGCCGACTTTTTTAATTGTGAGGCCTACTTTCTCCACATTATTTTAATACCAAGATGTTCAATAAATATTCTTTGTTGATATCGTATGTTATACTACAATCTCTTCCCAATAGAGGAATACAATCTTTCATAGTAATTTATGGGAACAAGCTGAGTACCTTATTGACAAAAATTAAACGCCCTCATTTTTATACCAAGATCGCCATTAACATTTACAAGTTGTAACTGAGGTTGAACATATCAAGTTCTGCGATTGCAACATATCACTCAGTTTTGTAGCAGTCACTTACATGATTTAATGATTTATGAATCTACAGCTGTCGGAGGGAAACTTATTGCAAGACCAGATTCAGGTACAATTTTTATTTATAATTTTTTTATAGTCTTCTCAAAGAGCGTGTCAGTCTAGTTTTTGAAACGTTGAGCGGCCTCAATATACGTTTCTATACATTCATTTAATTCAGTGCTTTAATTCCTAAAAAACTTTCGTAAGTGATGAAGGTTTTGTAACGGAATATTTAAAATTTTTAAATATGCAGATCCTGATCCTGATGTAATGGTATCTAATTCATCTACTGCTGCTAATCAAACTATTACGAATGAGCAGCAGCCACTACCTGGAATCAACCACGTAAAAAACGATTCAAATGTTGGCAAGGAAATGACAATAGATCCAACCATGAAACAAGAAAGACAGCCAAGTAAACTGGCAGCTACCTTAAAGCAGTTGGATCAATACAAAATGATTCGCCAACAAAAGAATTTGGAAAATAGCAGCACAGAACAACAAGATGCAATAGAACACAACTCAACTGCAACAAATAAATCGCAACAAGATGAGATTGAGAAAGAAAAGCTCAGGAAGGTAATTGTACAAAGAATCTATCATATATTCTTTCAACACCTATCGCCTTGTGGTCAAAACCCGATTTCTTATTATGAGGTGGCTACAAAATCTTTAACCGTCCGATAATAGTAAGGTCACTCTTTTCAGGATATAAGAAGAAAGCTTTATTCGTTGATACGTCGGCTTGGCGGAACAAAGAAAGACGTAAGGGCTGCTTACAGATCTATCATCTACAACATAAATGGACACCACGATAGTAAGTATTCCCATTGTTGTCGCACTAAACGTGCACGCCAGATTCTCTATCCTCTACATGTACATCTACCTTTCCTTTTTTTCAATTTAAGTACCCTCGTCACGCACCCTTTTGGTTTATATTTACGATTGGACGTTAATCTCTAAAATTAATGCCTACAACGTTTCTCGACAGTTGACCACCATTTTCCAAGAAAACAGAATTTTGCGTAGTGTTCCTATGGACAAGGTCATTTTTTCCTTATCCTGTCCGTGCATATTATCTCTCCCGAAAACCTTCAGTGTCTCTTTGTTTGGTAGTTTCAACAGGATAGAGATAACAAAGTTGCATGACATGCAGATTATATATATTTTCGCTAATTCCACCCCTCATTACTACAGCTGAATACTGCAAAGACCACCACGATCTGTGCAAACAATGGAATACAGATAACCTTTGTGAAAAGGGGAACGATATCATTGATGCACAATCCGTGCAGAGAGTGTGTCCAAAATCCTGCCAAGTCTGTTTCTGATATCTGGTGTCTCAGGTTTGTTATCTCATGAAATGGCCCTAATTATAGGATCTCTAGCCTGAGCGTAATTTACCTTACCAAAAGATGTTATATCATGAAAAAAAACCAAACAAACAAACAAAAAACCAGAAAGAAAAAAGTGAGCAAAAAATTGACAAATAATGAAAGAAGTGATTTTCTGCCCACCAGAGATATTTCCGAATATAGGTCGACAGGTCTGTTATTAAAACAATTAAAAATCATCCCGGCTTAAAGAAAAGGATATCTGGGCAAAGAGAAAAGTGAGAAAGGAAAAAAACACTTTATCACAGATTGGAATTTATGTTTGAGCTTTGTCGTGACTTGAACCACCTTTGTTTTCTTCAACAGGAGATTCCGATGAACGAGCACAGAAGTTATCAGTAGCTTACAGTATGACAAGAATGGAAATGTTTAGTTATCAAAAATTTGATAGATAAGTTAAGGGACAGAATTAAAGATCGTTACCATATTTGTAAATTAGCTTCGATTATGTAAGTATAGGTCGATCACTTTTAGGCTTTAAAAATGCTTATAAATACTTTACTTTAGAGCGTATCGGCAGCATTAAATCACACAGTGTTTAAAGATCATTTGACAAATTGATCTTTTTTAAGGAAGAAATGTAATTCTGAGGAGAAAAGCGTTCCTTACTGCATGGCATGAAATATGAAGAGAGTCAGTATCTGTTTTGAAATACATGAGCAATATCTTTGAGTTTTCTCAGTCTTCAGTCGTTTAATATGGGTTCCTTACAAATGAAAATATTAGAGAGAGTAATATTGTATTCTCGTATGGGTATAATTCCGCAATGACGCAGAGTAAAAAATTATATACAATCCAGAGATTATATCCAAGAAAAGAGAACACATCGTTGGGATAGCTAAGCTGCTAATTCATAAGTGTCTTCATCTCTTTTTTAACTTTTTCCTTTTCTTTTCTTTTCTTCCATTCATCTTTTTCCGTCCCCTGTGTTTTTTCTTATGTTACTCTATTTTACACTGAACTAATCTAATGTTTGGAAATATATCGATCAGATAATTATACCTGCTAAGTACTCACAGCATCAATAAATAGTTATCTGATGCGTAGGTAAATGATTAAATACGATGTATTTTAGGAATAAATTTAAACAAATAAAGAAAGAAATATATCTTTTGGAACAAACAATCTCCTCGGTATATGTAGCAAGATATATATTTTGATAAGCTGGAGTGAGGTAAAGGCTGCAAAAAATCAGCTGCAGGTTTTTCTATTTTTTCCCAGCAACTGATTAAAGAAACAAATATTGACATACCCTTGCAAATCACACACTTCTTGACAAATTTTTGCTGCAAATTATATCCAAAGGTTGCAATATTTAGGCAAATTGATTTCATGTCTGCCCGAAACATACATTTTTGAGATGTAATAAGCGGTTTCAAGTTTTTCCTCCCTGCTGCTATACTTTGATACTATCACAGCGTCATTTAGTTGATTTCTAGTATGAATGCATAAGCATTTGGTGGACTGCTTATTTTCCTTTAGATTGTGTGCTTCTGGGCCAAAGGCGGAAAACCCTTGTCCCTTCTTCATTACCAAAAAAAAAAAAAAAAAAGATATTAGTAACAACCAAGCTTCGAGGGGAAAATATTTTTAGCTTAAGTCAAATTCGGGCAAACACAGCCGGCGAAACATCCAGACAGCTGGGCGAATTGTTGTTGAAACAGCTTCCCACATGGCAACAGCTGATACTATTTCTGTTTAACCTAATACTTACTAACCAATCACGAAAATGTTTAAATCTGTACGAGAATTGAAGGAGGATCAACTCTTATTGGTCCACACCATCGTTCGTCGAGTACTTATACGAGGTATACTGGGTGATCAGATACCTTAGAAGCTTCCCGTGTGATTGTTGGAGAAGGGAACTGATTCCTAAGATGAAGAGTCTTTTCTCGCTTGCTGTAATCCTCGCGGTTGGTCTTGTATTGGCCCAAGAACCTCCACTCCCGCCGCCACCGGGACCAGAACCCCCAGGACCAGAACCCCCAGGGCCAGAACCCCCAGGACCAGAACCTCCGGGGCCAGAACCCCCAGGGCCACAACCACCAGGAGGAAAACATCCGAAAGACGTGAGTATTAACTTTTCCCTTTTTCTCAAAAATGAAACTGAGTGCGGCATGCAGTGCTCACAAACAAGAAAAGGTACAGTGTTGAGACGTCCGAGCTGAAAGCAATCACCACCTCCTTTGATCAAAAATATTTTCAGTTGAGGGTCGAAAGAAATCTAGGAATACATTTGTTTCAAAACAATCACTTCAGCTCTCGCTGACTTTTTGTAATATTGTTCTTTGTTCTCATTGGTTAGGTTGATTACCGTGGTTAGTTCAATCGAAATGTGTCCTACTCAGATCGACGATAAAATACGTAAGCCCTACAATTTAAAACGATGAGCCCCATGTTTTAACTGCAGCATTTCTTTGTGATTAGATTTGTTTGGATGAGTGGAACGCATGCGTGGAGTCCGGGGAGGGTTTTGGTTGCTTACCAAAATACTATGAATGCCTAAATGCCTACACAGTAAGTAAAGCATTTACAATTAATTAAAATTTATATATCTTTGACTACAATTTATAACTCTTTACGACATGTACAGAAGTGGCAGCTCTCATTAACAACAACCTAAGAGACGATCATTACGAAAGGAACTTTCAAGTGGCGCTTTCATGCAGTATTTATGTTAGATTGGTTTACCGCACGTCCCATTTATTCCGCCTTCGAAAACATGGCAACGGTTTCCAGAGACATGGGAAGGGGAACTTATCAAGGACAGTCTTCGTTAAATTTTCTTCTCTTGATTTTGGACCACTAACACGTAATTCACCGTTTCACTTTATTTAATTTACTTTGCAGAGGATATGCAGGAAAAAGTTCAGAAACCAGGGATGTTATGAAGCACTCGGGAAAGAAGAGTGTTGGAAGAAGCTTAAAATATGCTATGGGCATAAGCCTGAATGAGGAACTCATGGAACTCATGCAAATTAGTTGACGACAATAAAAATAATCTGAAATAAGCGCGATGTGATCTTCTGTCTTTATTGCGTGTTGCAGAAAATTACCTTTTTCCCTCTATCAAGTTCTATGTTCTCTCTATTTTTATTTGATCAGAGCGAAATATCCTTGGATAAACATTTACGACGTTGAGTAAATACAGAACCATATGAAAAAAGAATCCTGAATACGCGTTGGGCATGCGCATGCGTTTTGAACCAACGAGGACCAGCTTTTTAATCAATACACAAAAAAAGAGCCCATAGCCTAAAATCAAATACTGCATTCATCCATCGAAATTATTGAGGTGAAGGCCTAGCACAAAAAAACGTTTTACTGAAAGTCATTCTTTGAGCAGAATCGTACCTTCTGCAATGAGAACGACGTATGTTTTGTTGGTCTTTCAACAGAACTATAAGGGCAGGAAGGCTCTAGCTCTAGCCCATCCAAACAAGAATCCCCCCCCCACCCCACGTTTAAGAACATTTTAGCCCACAAAATGCGCCACTGTGCCTGACAAAGAGATAATAATGTTAATATTATTAAGTAGTTTAGCTATTCAAAGTTTTTACGTTGAAACACACCTTAGCGTCAGTACTGAGAACAACTAACAAGGCATTGAATTTATTCATGGATACAACGAGACATTTTGTCAACAAACAGTTAATGAGCGGTTCAAACACATCTGTTTAATTTTTATATTTCCATCCGTCTTTTGTTTTGTAGAATGATTGAATGTACATGTCATACCTGCTGCAATTATTTGAGCGTTTAGAAAAGTAGACAAAAAGAGTCGTTTAACCCTTTCACTCCCAAGATCTCATTAGTAATTCTCCTTACTGTCTGCCATACAATTATTATGATGTTAGGTAGGAGAATTCGATATTGGATCAAATAGAAATCTCTAGATTGATATTTTTCTTTGTTCTCTACACTTGTCTACTTTATATTGTAAGGAAAATTCTCTCTTGGTCACTCATGAAAGTTAAAGGGTTAATGCCTAACCAAATGACACAGACTGCCTTGCACAGCACACCCATAGTTGCCTGAACACGTAAACAACGTTATGTAACAAGGTTACTAAGTGCGCACATTTGAACGCAGTTATTAATCGTTGTCTCAATTTACAGCCATGAGGTTTCTGTTTTGTTTTTGTCTATTTTTCGCCCTGGGTTTGGTTTCAACCGATGATGAAGTCTTTGAAGCAAAAAGAGAGAAAGATCGTGCTGAAAATAACAACGTCAACGATTTATGGCTGCTTGTTGCCAAAGAGGAGGAAGAAGAAGGAGGGGACGAGTCAGGCCACAGCATTAAACCTACCTTACATCCATTCCAGGTTATTGACACTGACATTGTTACTCACAGCATGTAGGTGTAAAATCGTGTTTTTAATCAGTCAGCGCCATGGTACAGATGTCAGGCACGTAACACGAAAACTAATGCGGGGAACGAGGAATTTTAGCAAGGACCAGCAAGGGATACTATTTTGAAATTATACATAGAAGGGAAATTGTAGGCTTAAAAACGTTGGATTGGAATCTTACCCACCAGGAGTATTTCATTCAATCAGAAAACAGCGTCAGCCTTAAATTACATCTTTCTAATGGTCGCTTAATATTTATTAATCTTTCTATTAATGTTCTATTTATTTTTAATTTCAGCAATGCCTCCAAAAATACCATGTATGTGTCCAAAACAGCTGCAAAATATGGGAGAGACAGAAAGAATGTTTACTCCAGTTTTATCGATGTCAGAATCAATACACGGTTGGTAAAATTTTGCTTGTACAGTTCTCTTCCTGATGATTAACCTGAAGCGATACTCGAATCAGCAAACGCTATGGCGGCCTAACTATCATAACTATATATCAATTTGTAAATCCTAAGATAATATATGTAACTGTGAGACAATTCCCTGTCGTAAAAAGAAGAGAATAAAAATAAAAGAGTAGATCGCACATGCTCAAGGGCTCAGGTACATTTTCGTGATTATTTTCATGACACCTCATTCTTAATAGACATCCAGTTAATCAACGTGTTGTATCCGTTAGCACGTAGGCCTTCTCATATTTCTTGATACTCTTATGGATAACAAAATTTGGGAATTCAGACGCTTTCTTATGGTTTTTTTTACACTGTAGGCACCAAGTAGCAAAATTATTCATGGTCGTTTGGTTTTTTCGTAGAGAAAATGCCGGGAGCTTTATAAAACGTCATCTTGCTATAAACGTTTAGGACGTAATATGTGTCGTAAGAAGCTCATTCAATGCTATGGCTCCGACAGTGGAAAAGCTGATTGACTACAACAGGGCAATGTATGCAGGAATTATTGGGAGCAAGCTTACTGAAATGCTCTAAAGTTCACTTGTTGCTTTTAATAAAACTTAGAACCTTCTCTGTGGCAAAATGTTTCCCTGGCCTACACCACATTGGGATTCACAACCGTTACTTAAACTGGCACATATCCTTAATATACCCATGCCAATATTCATCTGACTAGGGACTTTTCATTAGAATCCCGTCAACTGAACAGACTCGCTTTCTGTGATCTTACCATGCTACCCCTTTTAGTGTACTGGAGAGGAATAGTCAAGCTCGAGTCACCCATGCCGCAGAGACAGGGCAAAAAATTTAATTTTGTGACAACTTAGATTTCGCTAAAAATTGCCACAGTGACACTTGGAAAGATGCTCTGGTCTTACTGGAAAAACCGAATAGAAAGTTTCTATATGATTAACGAAAGAAACTATTTTTGCCATATAAAATTAGTTACGCCAGTGCCTTTAAAAAAGCTAACGTAAACTGTTCGACCTTGATCATTCACGATTCATGCTCTTCTTTTGTTTCAAACTTTATGGAGGTGTTCATTTTGAGACGAAAATAGATCACCAGTCACACCTGACCATGCAGACTTCTTAAACTTAACGAGTCCAAAGCGCGACCGTAAATGAAATTATTTGAGAAAGCTTGAAAAAAATGCGCAAGGAAATGCTCTGATGTGTAAAATGTAGTCTGTTTTTTAACGATTTCGAACGATTTCGGCCATATTTATACACGGAAGTCCCGCAATTTCTACATCAAATCAATGCCACCATTCCTGATTTCGGAAACATTCGCAATCTCTGTATGAACTCATGACTGATATGCAGATTTATTATCGAACCTCTTCAAATTAAAAAAAATAAAATAAAAAAATGGTAAACACACATTTCGCTACACGTTTATTCCTTTTTTTCATTGCGAGTTTCAGAACAAGGAACGAGGTCCAGAACCCAGCGAAGCATGTGACTGGCAAATGGTGTAGTCATATTTTTGCCAATGATCCTATAATTTTAATAATTTCATAGCTCAATTTTTTTCCATTGTAGCCTACATAAACTGAATAGCGAAAACAAAATTGTCATAAAATCACCTGCGGCAATATTTGGGTAACCTTTGTCACGGAGGAAAGGCTGGCTGAAAAGGAACTGTAAAGAGCTTCCATCAACCTTTTTCTCTCCGCTGATGTGGTTCTATTTATCTCACTTTATTTACGGCAAAGTTTAAACTTCATACCTGAAATTACAATAACAGAGTCGATGGCTATGAAAGCCTTTGTTTTCTATCATTGTTGTTTAGCCGTAGTTCCCGAAAATCTAGCAAACAGGAATTGAATCGGTGGTTCTGAGAGCGTTTTTACATTACGCTTTGTTTGCAGAGCTTCAATAAGCGAGTCTGCTGACTCAATTGAAAACTAGCGAAATCTTTTGTTCAAAATGTTTACCTTCCCCGTAAAAGGTTTCAGTAACTTCATTGTTCACACCTTTGGTTTACAAACACACTGAATAAACCATTATTTCTAACGAAAAAGTCAATAATGCATTTGTTTTTCTAAACCTAAAACAAAAGATAGATATAAAAGAGAGCGCTCTTTTGCAAAAGTCTACCATAACACAGGCCAAAACTTCCGAAGGATTTACAAGGAGACCTGCAGCTGCACGATGAAATCTTTTCTGGCCATTCTACTTTTTGCCCCCTTCATCGTTAGCCTTCATGCCAATGATCTTGACGAGTACCTTTTTGATGCCGAAGTAGACGGTGAGATTCCTGATCGACACCCAATTGTGGTAAGCATGAGTTAACGTCCCGCAAATGTTTATTGCCAATTGACTTATTGGAAATTTTCTTCCCGAAGGATAAGGAAGTAAACGATGCGCATTTAACACTAACAGGTTGGCTATCAAACATGAAGTACTATTATCATTCATAAGTTTGGACTCTTTCCTCTGTTGTCTACTCATACATGCTCTGAAGCCAATGCCTTAGAAAAGCGAGAAAAAAGTAAAAGGTGCGAACGGTTAAGCGCAGAAACGTCGTATGCGCTCTTTCTTGTTCTATTCTTTTCAGTCGTGTGTTCCTCAGTACACTGCTATAATCACCATTGTTGGTTTAATTATAATTACTAGAATTATTCTACTGATTTTATTCTTTGTTCATGTTCAGCAATGCAGCATCGACTTGTATGACTGTCTTAACCTTGGAGAAAAGGGCAAATTCGAATGTTTAAAAGATTACAAAACCTGCATGTCCGTGCTGATACCAACAGCCCCACCACCATTTTTGGTAAGAATGAACCAGAGGTAGCTTTAGTAAACGAGTCAACGAGAATGTAAAACTATGACAGGGCGCGGCTAAGGGAACTAAGGAATAGAAGGGGTAAGTTTCTAAAGAAACTGTGGTGCTGCGTCAGTGGAAGAGCATAACAGGGTTATTTAGTATCATAAACTGAGTTGATAACGTAAATTGACCACTGTAAAGAGTTTAAAAGCTGACGTTTTGAGCGTTAGCCCTTTGTTAGCCCAATCGCTCTGACGAAGGGTTAACGCTCGAAACGTCAGCTTTTAAACTCTTTACGGTGACCAATTTACGTTATCAACGCAGTTTATAACACTAAATTACCCCAAGGGGAATAAGGTTTTTTGGGGGGCACATGATCCCCTCCAATAGGAAAAGGCATTAGTCAGATCACTTCCACGTGATGACAGACACCTCCATGAGGTGTGAGTCGTTTCTCGGTCAACATACAATCGAAAACTTACCATTAAAGGATTGTGTCTTTAAGGAGAAGAAAATACCTCAACGGCTAAAAGATCGATGGGATTTTCCATTTTGGTAGACTTGATATCAAAGGCAAAAACGTAGTCATTTAATTCCGTGATTGTTAGCTATTCTTCCCTTATTTCCTATAAATGCTCTTTAGTTTGGTTTTAAAAGATATGCACTAGCTTAGTGCCACTTTCGAATCATATGATCTGCCAAATTTCCCACCAGAATGTTGCCACAGATAAGCACAGAAATAATTTAGTTGATTATGTATATTCTTTCAAATTCCATATTAATCTATTTTGTTTTTCTAATGATTATATTCTGTATTGCACATCTAGCAATGCAAAATAGATCTATTGAAGTGTGTCAAACAGGGAAACAAGGATAAACTCGAATGTCTCAAGGATTACAAAACCTGCATTTCGGCGCTGATGCCGACAGTGCCTCCATACGTGGTAAGTAATAGCTTCTTATCAGTTCGTTTTAAACCTTAACGATGACACACAGTTATACGTTGCCGTAGCCTTGAGGATTCAAGAGATCCTATGGCCACTGAGAGCGATAATCTGGGAAATAAACCGTTTTGATGTATTCAATTGACGGCTATTATCGATAATTTTTCTCATTGGAATGTTGTTCTAATGGAAGAGATACTCAAAAAACCTTTGTTAAAGTTATATATTTCATTGCCTAAAGTTTCTTTTGCCAGGAAACCTGTTTTAACAACGCCATACAGTGCGTGAAAGATAAGAAAAACTTAGCAATGAAAGCTGGGTGTCTCAAGGAACTTTTCGTGTGTATAAAAGACAAAGGGCCCGAAGAAGTTGTATTCGATGCGATCGAAGACATGGGACAGATGGAAAACTCGAACGGTTTCAGAGTAAGTTCGTGTCCAAGATTTGGAAGCACTTCAGTAGTCACTAACTCTTGTCGTGGCTATTTATAGATTGGAGATGAGAGAATTTCTGTTAATGGTCATGCTTTGACTTGGATTAATACCATAGGTGGTAACAACCTTTGGAAATAATCGAAACAACAGTTAACAGGAGAGGATGAGACTCAGGGGTATAGCGAGGAGGTAAAGAAGGTTTCCAAGGGTACCCACGGAAACCAAATCTCCGGGAAAGATTTTTTTTTCTCTCTTTCTTTTTTTTCAAGTTATGCACTACTATTATCCATGAGAAAAAATACCGGGTAATGCAACATGGAAGTCGGGTGGGAATGATACGTTCCCCCCCCCTCCCCTTTGAAAAACTCCAACCACGCCTATGATGATAAAGCTAAAGTTTTTGTTCTGGCTTTTTAGTCTCCAAACACAGCCCTCTAAGAATTTTTTTTCCCATTTTCCTAATGCGTTTGAGATATTCATGCGTTGCAATTCCGTACTTACTCGTTTTCTTTTTGTCTAATTTTTATTTTTTGAACTAAACATAGAAATGCCAAAAAGATTTATACCAATGCTTCAAGGACGAAAACGACGGAAAGATATGTTCAGCTAATTACAAAGCATGTATGGAGGCACTGATACCGGCATATGTGGTGAGAACAAGACAAGTATAATTTATGATTTAAATTTTGCTGCTTCTGTCGTCGTATCTTACTGATAAGATAAAATAAAGATATCAGCCATGGTATATAATGAGATTAAACACGAAACTCTCGAAGCTAAAAGTAGTAAAAATATATAAAGGACAGAGAGATGAATTGAGATTAAGATATTAGTTAGGCCTGTCCCTATTGTGCGTGCTCTTTAAATGCTGGAAAGTTGCTTTATTTGCGTTCAAAGGTCTATACAAATTCAAGAAAGTTGCATAAATTGAAGTTCTCTATGAAATTATTAACTTTCGTGCTTGATATGCTCTTTTTGGCAAATTGAAATTATCTACTATCTGTGTTGAGATAGCGAACTAAGAAAAGTTCAATTTTTATTCGTTTTATATCACTCGTGTTATTGCTGAGTTTTTTTTCTTACGATTTGAATCTACAGAAAAAGTGCTATGCCGAGGCTAAGGAGTGTTTTGGCGATGCTCAGTCTCTTAAAGAAAAGTTCAACTGCGCTAAACAACTCGGAAAATGTCTCCAAAATGGTGCACCAACTACTTCTCCACCATTACCAACCGAAAAATGATTTGAATTGTGCTGGACATAACTGGAAGTAGATGTACTTAATTAGAGTACAAATATAAGAACATGAGAAATGTGAAGTTGGTTTGTTGTTGAATTTTCTGAGATTGTTTTTGAACCGTATTGCTCCCCACTGCAAACATTTAAGATTTGCAAAGTCTCATAACACCACACATTTATGAACATTTTTGTGCCACTAAATATCGCGAGCGACGTAAGCGATATGGGCGATGGTTGAAAATGTCGTTCCGCCATGTTCTTCCAAGCTTTATCACATAGTTCGACGTTACCGCATGGAAAGTATCTTTTCTATAATCTGCCGAGGTTTAAGTATATATCGCCCATGGTCTCAGAAGTCACTCACCAATTCGTCCCAACATCTGAATTTGCAGGGAGATATTGGGGGTTCTGAAAATCGGAAAACCAATAAAACAGCGCCAACTTAAATAGGATTCTTTGTAATCCTAATGAAAATAACGCTGACGAGACTACAAAAACATAATTAGATAATAATAAAGACGGAGACACTCACGTTCAATAATTGAGTACGACACCATGATAGTAGCAATGTTTGCAACGATAAAAACATTGTAAAATTAACTTCAAATTAAATGAGCATGGATGTCTGCCATCTAAGACCACTTTCGACGTGGGCAGTGGACCACCAATACAGTTGTCAAAAAGAAACAGCGTGGATGTGAACGTCCTTTACTTTGCAATCTGTTACCATTTCGCTTCATGAAAACCAGGAATGCCTTTTCGAGACGTCGGGTTAATATCGAAGTCACTATCGTTTGGATCAAATTAATTTTCCCTTTGAGACTTCCAGGAACAAAAATTGGACGGAAGAAGCGATTGAAAATCAAAAGTGATTGACAAGCGCATGAGAAGGCCATATAATCATGACATAACATTTGCTTGAAATAACTGCAGATGATTCTTCGGTGGGAATGGCGAGATACTCTCTCCCATAAATAACCCAAAACAACATAATTGTGACGAGAAGTATTTCTCGATAAACTGGGATGACATTTTTTTTTTATTTTATATCAGCGATCAGACCGAGCATGAGTTTCTTTTTCGATGACAATTCGTTTTAAAGATGAACTCATCACTACCCATTTCTGCAGGAGCTGAAGTAACCTCTAAACGTTTCACAAAAGGAAAACAGCTTTTCATTGTAATCACACTCGCGCCCAATGATAAAATATCTGCTATCTGTCATAAAGATAAAAATAAAGATGGATCTTGATTTTAAAAGCTACAATATTTTTTATTTGAATATAGTATGCTGTTGGCTGTTATGCTGACATAATGCTCCACCTAAAGTTCACATATTAATTCAGTTATCTAACAAAAGACGTTTTGGGAAAGAGGAAAAGTTCTATTTTATGTGATTATAACTATAACTCATCTCCCATTCGACATTCAAAATTATGGGGCTTCAAAAAACCGGTCTTGGATAAAATAATTCCACGTAGGTAGGAGATGCAAACAACAATGATTGTCAACAATTCCAAATGAGCAGGATGAAACAATTAGTTATAGAAGTGATAAGTATCGGATTACAAAGATCATAAAAGGCATAAATGCAACAATGGAAGTAGAACTACCCTAACTGCGCTAACCTTTGTTGGATTTCACAGTTTCATTCTTAAGAATGCTTATCAGCCAAACAGATGCACAATTACACCTGTGCGAAGGTAAACTGTTGGTGACTAATAATACAAAGAGGGCTGAAGTAAAGAGTGATTGATGAGCAAATAACACAGATTTTAGTTCTGGTTGATTTGTTTAGTATGTATGTTAACTTTGCACTATAGATAGGCGAAGTAGTTATTCATGGAAGCTCGTGAAAGCGATATATACATAAATTTTTTTTCTCTCTTTTTCGGTACGTATCATTTTCTCTTAGTATTAAGAAAAGGAAGAGGAAGCACCAAGCGTTCTATTTCGTGAAAAAAGGACGGGAGGAAGAAAAGAGAAAATAAATTCAAAGAAAATCGCAATTTTAGTCAGAACAAATGTTCTCACTCAGATTCTTTTGTCTCTATTTAACACCAACACTCAAATAAAAGATTAAACAGCTGCAGATATCCTCTTTTACAAAGTAACACCTCTTTGACTCCACAAACGCTAACCTTTTATGCTGTAAAGAAATCTCAATAAACTTTGAATCTGCCCGGTATCTTTATAAGCAATCACCCAGAGGTAAAAAAGCACATTTATCTCAGGAAACGAAACCAGTTCAACATGAAGTTTTTCCTCACTGTTTCACTTATTGTGGCCTTCATGGCTATGGTTTGTGCTGATGAACTAAACGACGAAAAAGGAGCATTCACGGTGAGCACTTTTTTTTCTTTTGTGAGACAGCTTTTGGTGTGAGCTACTTTCCAATGTATGAAGCAGGAAATTTGGTACCTCGAGGGCCCTATCAAATCGTGAACTCTGAAGAATTCGTGAGATTCTGGACTTTCTTAACTCTCATCCTTGTTTATTTATACAATTGCAAATCGAAATATTATTAGCTCTACCTTATGAAATTCTTTTCTCCCCGCAACCACAATGGAAGCGTCAGAAAGAAAAACTAATGTTTTGGTGCGAAACATCTAACAATGCATTTTAAGATGCTCTGAGATACACATCTTTTTTGCATTATTGTTATAGCAATGCCACAAAGATCTCTACAGCTGCTACAAACAGGAAACCAACACTGCAAAGGAATGCTTGGTGAAATACAAAGATTGTATGGCCGCGCTTATACCTACTATGCCTTACTTTATGGTAAGCTCTACGTTAATACGTCATTTTTGTTTAGTTTCCTTTTTTTCGACATTTATGATTTTCTTTCATTTATTTGTGTTGATTTCAGACAGTGTAATCGAGCGCTACTTTCAGTTGAAACCCCTCCTCCCCCCCACTCCCCCGCTTTTTTGTTGTTTTCTTTCTTTCTAGCCTTAAGCAAAAATCTCGGAAATTCAATGCATTCGCCTCTTACTCTAATCTAATTTAGCTTGAGGATGAACGATATTTCTCATTTGCAGGCTGGATATCATTCGTCAGCCGGGTTGAACTAAAATGAATGAACTTTCCAAGAAAGTTCACCCATCTTTCACTTAAATAATAGATACGCGTTTCAGAGTTTGCGCTCGTTTTGTTTAAGTTGTAGTGATACATATTGGTTTGCTATTAGCCTGAATGTAACATTCGTAGACTTCAGATTTTTTTATTGAAATTTCATCCTTTATGTCACACACAAAAAGTGTTTTAGCACACCATGCAAACCTGTCAATTTTCAGCCTTAATTTGCTTGAAAGACAAAATTTTTGTCGGGTATGAGTGCAGTATTCTGAAACGTCGAAGCCATAACATGGTCGTGATTTTATCTTTTTTTTGTTTGCAGACCTTATGTAAAAAAGACCTGACCTTTTGCACAAGCCATGCACAAGGCATAAAAGCGAAGGCTGACTGTTATATTGAATACGGCAAATGTTTAAAGAATGGAGGTCCTACCCCTGTCACCTATTCCCCTTCCCACCATGCAATGGACGACAGCAGTAGCGGTCAGTTTACGGTACGTTCGCACACGTGAGCCTTTTGCGATTGAGATGAAAAATTCAAATATTTCGCTTCATCACTTCTTTACAAAGTTGTTAACTATGTAGAGGAAGGTGTTTTTTCTGCCTTGTCAAGAGCATGAGAGATCGGAAAGAAGTTTCCATCCGATGTTTGTTACTTGAAAACTGCTTTCGCTACCCACATGTACATTGTATAAATAAACATCGTTTCCTAAAATCACTTTTGCCTCAGGATTGTCATAAAGAACTGTATAACTGCTACAAAGCTGAAAACAGCAGCGCAAAGGAATGTTTGATTAAATACAAAGACTGCATGGCAGCTCTAGTCCCTACAATGCCGTATTATGTGGTAAGAATAACTATCATTATCTGATTGTTCTGAGTAGAGTACAAATAACGCGCAAATCGAAAACAAATACCTGCGTTATTGGACAGTTGGTTATTTTGTACCGTAAAAAAAAACTGTTTAATCAAACGACTGCGTGCGCTACACTCCTCTGCCTGCTTCGTTTTTCCATCTTGATTAGATAAGCTTATGAGAAATGTGTATGAACAAAGCAATTAAAAAATAAATAACATGTTAGACAATTTGATGTGTAATATTGCTGAGTATTTTCACTCGTAGTTTGTATTTTGACCTGCTTTGCGGGCTCGCCAAAATACGGCAGCACTCGTAAAAATACCTAGCGATACATACCAAAACGTCCAATAAGATATATTTCTCTTTCGCCCAAACCATACCCCGCCTTTATATATATTTCTACTTCGTACAAGTATTTAATGACAAAAGGTTTCGTTCGCAATGATTACGTAGTTATAGCGTTCTCTAACTAAGTATAAGTTATCAGTTATTGTCTTTGTCCAAGGAAAACTGATATCCAAAAATAGATACCTTGGTAACTAGAGAAAACTGTCCTCAATTATTAATAGATTAATCTAATTACATATTATACTAATCCCTTTTTCTCAGACTCTGTGTAACAAAGACCTAAGTTGGTGTGTTAGCCACGCTCAAGGAATTAAAGCACAGGCTGTCTGTTTCTATGACTACGGCAAATGTTTGAAGGATGGGGGACCTACTCCTGTGACTTATGCCCCTGAGAAACGTATGCCTCCAACTCTGGCTCCAACTCATGGTCCATTGGCGGTAGGAATCACTAATCACACATCCACAGTGGTTTTAGATTCTTCTTTTTGTTCAAGATTGATGTTTAAAAGTTAGAACCTGTAAACATGGTTATATATGCTATTAGTAGTATTGAGCGTATCAAGGTGGTACAGAATTGGGAAATAAAGTCCCTCGCCCCATTCAAAGCAGTTTTTGTTTTATTTAATAATCCGGTTTCCTTGCAGCAATGCCAAATCGACCTGTATAACTGTAATAACAACCCAGATAAGACTGTTATGGAATGTCTGGTTGACTACAAGGATTGCATGGCTCAGCTCATTCCACCCTATGTGGTAAATATCTTTTAAGTGATTATTTG